CCAATTCAGATGACAATTCCCCATAAGCCCTTACACGACTACGTGAGTTTGAATAGAGTGCCTTGATTAGTGCAATGTACTTTCTTGGCACTCCCTTCACAGTCAGACATTGCCATAGTACCTTTCGATCCACGGAGTCGAAGGCCGCCTTCAAGTCAAGAAATATGACAATTGTTGGACGCCGAAAAGTGTGTCTATGTTCTAGAATCTGTCGAAGAGTGAAGATATGATCTATGCACCCTCTACCTGGTCTAAAGCCTGCTTGATTTTCCCTTGTCTGTTCCTCCCGAGTTCTGCTTAGTCTATGCATGATTACTGAGCCTAGGATTTTAGAGACTATGTTCGTTAGGCTGATCCCCCTATGATTATCACACGAGGACTTGTTTCCCTTCTTGAATATCGGTATAATAAGTGACTTACCCCAGTCTGATGGCACTGTCTCTGATTCCCAGACTTTGCCTAGTACCTCAGTTAATCTACAAACTAGTATGTCACCCCCATATTTAAACACCTCCGGAATAATTCCGTCGGGTCCTGCCGCTTTGCCTCGTTTCAAATTACTGATAGCTTTTGTGACCTCACTACAGACGGCGGACCAGTGTCTATATCCCATTCGGGTGTGGTGGATGGCGGGGAGGTTCAGTGTGGCTGTAGGCAAGTTAAATTGTCCTCAAAGTGTTCTTTCCAGCGTTCAAGGCGTCTATCCTGAGAGCTAATTAAGGAGCCATTTTTCTCAGAAATAGTCTCACTTATGATTTGCCTTCTCCCACCCGTTTCTGATGAGTCTAAAGAGTTGCCTAGTGTTGCCTATCGCCGATGCTTTTTCCATCTCTTTCGCCTTTGTCACCCACCACTGTTCACGGTCCTTGCGGAGACTTTTAGTAAGTTTCCTTTTGTGCAGCTTTCGCTCCTCATTGAATTCGGAGCTCGCCGGAATAAGTCTTCTAGCATCTATCAGTTCGGATGAGGCAGTCGAAATCCAGTGGTTTTTACTCACCTTTGGATTTGCCTTATTCACAGCTTTTACAGCTGTATCTATAGCTGACTGAATATTCTTCCAGGCTTCTCCAGGGTGAGCACAGCTGTCGAATTCAGATATGCGTTTAGCTAGTTCTTCCTCAAATAGGGATTTAGTTTCCTGATCGAGCTGGGGACGTGATGGTTTTACCGCCAGCTGTTTCCTACGTCCGTTCAGTCGTAAGCACACACGAGCCCGGACCAGTGCGTGATCGGTATCTACACACGTGTTCCAGAAGGAGCGACAATCTCCTACCGACCCACGCCAACGATAGCTTATTGCTATGTGGTCTATTTGTGTCCAGCGTTGGTTTGATGATGGGGGTCGCCAGGTTAAACAGTGTCTCTCCTTGTGTTTAAAGTTAGTGCTTACAAGAAACAAATGATTATCTGAACAGAACTGTAGGAGACGGTCACCGTTGTCGGTTCGCTGGCACGGAACTCCATAGGTGCCACCGACATCCTTCTCAGATTGACACAATTTCCCTACTTGAGCGTTAAAGTCACCAGCTAGAACGACTATATCTGAGCGTTTAGCCTTTCTCACCAAACTAGACAGCTTTTGGTAGAACTCATCCTTCGTTTCATCCGAACTGCAGTCAGTGGGGGCGTAGGCGGAGATTACGAAAAGGCATCGGCGAGTAGTGCAGTCCTTTCTCCTTCTTACTGATCCGTTCAGACGGACAGCACACATTCGGCTATCTACCGGGATCCAGTCAAGCAATGTCTTTTCTGCCCTAGTACTCAGAGCTATCCCTACGCCAGCTAATCCTCGTGAACTAGCTGTGGCATCTCCTGACACCCTCAAGGTGAATTTTGAAGATTCATCCTGTTGGCCAGGTGGGGTTAGGTGAATAACCACACTTGGGTCTTGTATGCGTGTTTCTGAAACACAACATACATCAATGGCTCGGATGCCAGGGTCTTAGCTAGTGATGCTTGTTGTCCTATTTGGCAAAGTGTCCTAACATTAAATGCTCCTATATGAAATTGGTGGCGTGGCTTTAGGAGACTATCGGTGGTGGTTTTTTGGCTTCCGTCGTTTTTAGTGGACACAGAGTGAAGAGGGAGTGAGGAGCCATCAAGTAGAGGAGTTGCATCACTGGGGGGAAGGCAAGGTAATAGAGATGAAGATGAAGACAAAGATAAGTGAGGATTAGAGAGGTTTTGTGTGCGTTTTGGATTGTGAGGGCGATTGTTACTTCCCGGCTGCCCACACCGTGGAAGTTGGTTGCGTGACCGCAGAGCCCAGGGGACAACTGCTTGAGGCCGGTCACACGCGGCCTGTTTTTGTTTGTTCTCTTTTGTTTGGTGTGCCTCAGTAGCATACTTATCACTCCCGCCCTGTGACACGGCAGCAGGAAGCGCGGTCGTTGTTAATCCGGGCCACGGCCGATCCGGCATGAAATTTTGTGAATTTGTTTGAATCATGGTATTGGATGGGGTAGCTGCTTTTTGTTTAACCGCTATCCAAACAACCTGCCTGGCATGGTAGAACCTCAAGAGACATAAGTCTCAGCCAGTATAGCTTGATTAGGTCATTGCGGTGTTCAAGCCCGACCACCACGTCAAGGTAGCAGCTTTCGGTCGGGGTAAATGTAGTAGTCAGCGTGATTAAAATATGATAAAAAGATGCCTTTTGCTACCAGTCTCGTAATGTAGTGAAGGATAATCAAATGATTTTCTCGAAACTTTTACCCTTGTGGTATCCTGGTAAAGAATGTTTTCTATATTTTCTTTACATGCTGAAATTAAAATTGAAAAAAACACTCAGACTTGCTACACTACGGGTACCTATAGTTTGTGCGAAGGCTGAGATACTGCCTAGATACTGAAACTGAAGCAGATGGCCATCTTAAGGAGTCATCCCCAGCCGTCCGACCTGAGGTATGATCCACAAGACAGCGGAGCTGCATTCCTCTGGTTGATAATGAATAGGGCTACGAGCACGTGCCACACGAGGCAATTTAAACAGCTGCATTTCTTTTTAAAGTTCTATGTTAAAAACTCATTTGAAATCTTAATTCATTATGCCGAAAAGTTTAGACTTATGGCTGACTGGTCAAGAAATTGAACGCTTATTTAAATGGTAACCTTCTTTCGTAGTTTTGACAAAACGGTAAGATGTATACTGTATGCATCGTGTAATGTATTTGCTCAACGCATTGTGGACGATCTAATCACATCACACACACACACAAGTATTTGTTATAGGAGTTCATGTGATAATGATAAAACCGCTTTTATATGTTCAAAAACAATTTGTAACACATCAAGCCAACCTTTGTGAAATTTTTGATAATAGGATAGAGGCACTATTATCTTTCCTTCTTTAGTTTATTGATCTCTATTATTACTTTGTGGTCCGAGAGAGAGGGCTCTCGAGTGGTTGCAACACAGGATTATCCTGTATGCCAGTCTCGTCTCGCAAGAGGCAGGGATGGGTGTGTTTTGGTTCTCCTGAAAACCTGAAAACTCCTAAAAACATCTCATCCAACAGTTGTACGACAATGCTGCACGCCAAGTAATCCACAACGTGGAACTTACGGGATCCTTCGAAGTGAGAACGGGAGTAAGACCAATGATTTTCCTGATTGCAGTAGATTGGATAATGTGACAGACACACAGCGGGCAATGAGGAAACAGGCATAAAATGGACTCACACAAAAAACTTGGAGGATCTGGACTTCGCCAGCGATGATATATGTCTGATTTCCCAAAAAGTGGAAGATACGCAAGTGAAAAGCAACAAGTTGGCGATCGAAGAAGCATCAAAGATAAGACTTCAGGTGAACATAGATAAAACAGAGGTGATGAAGATTCCTGGCCAACAGCAACAGCGACAACAACAGACAACAATCAGCATAAATGGGAGGAACCTGAAAAAAACAACCTCCTTCACCTACCTGGGAAGCATCATTTCAACTACAGGTGGAACTGACGAGGATATCAAAGCAACGAGGATCGGGAAATAAAGATAAGATTGCATTACTCTTAAGTCTGTGTGGAGGTCAACAGCACTCAGCATCAAAAATAAGATCCGGATTTTCAACTGCAATGTGAAGTCAGTGCTACTTACAATACGGATCAGAGACTTGGCTAGCGCGTCATAAAGAGCATCTCAAACAAACTACAGACCTTGATTAACAGTTGTCTTCGCTCAATACTCAAAATCAGATGACCGGCCAGAAGAGATCAGCAACAGGGATCTCTGGCAATGACCGAACCAACCAGGAACCGACTGTGCAACAAACAGGCAGAAAGAAATGGAGATGGATTGGCCATACTCTGAGGAAACCATCAAGTGACATCACTGGACAAGCCGCTGCTCGAGTGGAACCCGAAAGGGAAGCGGCGAGTTGGTCGTCAGTGCAAAGGTGACTTGGAGGAGGTCATGTGAAGAGGAGATGAAAGCGTGTGGGCATACTTGGAGCCAGGTGAAAACTGTAGCAGAGAACCGAACGCAACGGAGACGCGCGGTTGAAGCCCTATGTTCCTCTAGGAATTAAAAAAAATAATAATAAATAAATATTACTTTGACCTTCAACAGAATCTTTTAACCTGACCCCCATATCTATTAATTTACCCCTCAACGCTCTCTTATTTTCATATAAATTCCTATGATAAGTACTTGTGTGTGAGGAAATTGTTTGTAATATTTTGCGCAATTACACTATGTGATTCAGATAAATTATGTCTTCCCATAGCCTTGTTGGAATTGTTAAAAGGAACTATGGGTTATCAATCTAAGTAGTTGACTTCCGACCAGTTGGTCACAGATTAAGACTGCGTTCCTCCTCTCACTGAGGTTTTCGCAGCCAAACAATATCACCAGTCTTCACACACAACAGATGTATCTCATCGCCAACTTCACAGAATTGCGAGTAATTATTCATTTTCATTCAGAGACCTAATTGTTTCAATGTTTTTTAAAGAATTGCATTCTCACCTTATTAAGATTTCTGATTTCACTTTGTCTTAAGGTTTTATATTTTGAAGCTCGTAAAAAGAAAGATTTATACTTATGGCTTAGTTGTGTACCAAATGGACCATCAGCTAAATTTCTTGTTGAAAATATTCGTACAACAGCAGAATTAAAGTTGACTGGAAATTGTTTGAAAGGCAGTCGTCCTATCCTAGGATTTGATTCATCCTTTGAAGAGTCAAGCAAGCCTCATGTACAATTGTTACGTGAATTATTTGTACAGACAATGGGTACACCGAATCATCATCCACGTTCACAACCGTACATTGATAAAACATTCACATTTGTTAACTTCAATGATCGTATATGGTTTAGAGTGTATCAAATTGCTGAAGAAAGTGGGGCATTAGTTGAAGTTGGTGAGTGTATTGACCTTTCATAATATGTATATTCAAATATTCTGTTGTTGAACTATATAGGTCTTGTATTTTTCCTCAAATGTCAAATGGAATTTTTTCTTTTGAATGCTTATTTTCTACTTAATTAAAAATTCAGTAGTCTGATGATGTAAAGAAAAATATATTGTGATAACATGATTTGTGTGCATGTATGTGCTAAGGTGGTTGATTCACAATGATAGTGGGTTGGTCAACTGCGCGGGAGATTTCGTTTCGATGGGTGTATTCCTAGACCTCGCTCAGTTTACTAACCGAGCAGTAAGTTCATGAAAGTGGGAGGATAGAGCGTAAGGCTAATGAAACCATCGCTACCGAAAATTCAAAGCTTGAAGCCCATAAGTACCACTCGAGGAAAACAAGTGTGGTGAGAGCTGGCTGCAACCTAAAAATTGTAGACAGCAGTTTACGTCAATGTTCACATCCCGATTCAAGGTCATGAGAAAAACGATAATCAAGCTTGTCCTTGAGGGACTTATCAACTAATCATAGCAGACTTAACGTGTGCAAATAGGATTCGCAGATATATGGCTTAACTTTCTAAGAAACGGACACAAGTAGTACAGAATAATCTTCAGTAAGCAAACAACCAGTCAGGGGATGTTTCTTCTTCGTTGACAATAATGTACACAAAAATCTATAAATATCTGTTGCTTTTCTCAATAAACGATTAGTTGCCTGGCCCTTGTTTTCTGTCGTTACACAAGGAATAAAACCAGAAATTGTGTATGTACAGTTTTTAAAGACAATTTACTGTGGACAAAGTAGAATGTTATGTGCAAAAATTGACAATTTGCTGATTAAAAATTAACCACAGTCATTTTAACTTTACCATCTTTTAGTTCTATATATGTAAATCTGTTGAGCTAACTTTTAGTGTATCTGTTTTGCTGAACTGAACTTAATGGGATATTTGTTAACGTTGTTCATTCAACGGTTTTGTCTATCAACTAAAAGTAGATGATTTAAGTGTTGGTTTGTAGGGATTTGATTGGTTACAGGATTTCATCATGAGCTGACATTAGTTAGAGAACCATTGGAAAACCTGGGAGTACTGGACAGCTGTTTCGTCCTAGTTTGGGACGGTGTTTAAATATGGGAGTGACACACTAGTTTGTAGATTAACTGAGGTACTAGGCAAAGTCTGGGAATCAGAGACAGTGCCATCAGACTGGGGTAAGTCACTTGTTATACCGATACTCAAGAATAGAAACAAGTCCTCGTGTGATAATCATAGGGGGATCAGCCTAACGAACATAGTTTCTAAAATCCTAGGCTTAGTAATCATGCACAGACTAAGCAGAACTCGGGAGGAACAGACGAGGGAAAATCAAGCAGGCTTTAGACCAGGTAGGGGTGCATAGATCATATCTTCACTCTTCGACAGATTCTAGAACATAGACACTTTTCGGCGTCCAACAATTGTCATATTTCTTGACTTGAAGGCGGCCTTCGACTCCGTGGATCGAAAGGTACTATGGCAATGTCTGACTGTAAAGGGAGTGCCAAGAAAGTACATTGCACTAATCAAGGCACTCTATTCAAACTCACGTAGTCGTGTAAGGGCTTATGGGGAATTGTCATCTGAATTGGTAACAACCAGTGGTGTCCGACAGGGATGTCCACTTTCCCCATTTCTCTTTAACTTCATCATAGATATGCTGATGGAAGTATCCTTAACTGAACGTAATGACTTAGGAATCGACTTGTTACCAGGGAATGGTCTTATGGACTTAGAATATGCAGATGACATAGTCCTGTTAGGGGAGAATGCAGAGTCTTCCGAACACCTTGAGCAGCAATCTTCGTATGTTTGGCATGCGATTCGCCCCTGTAAAATGTAAGATGCTGCTACAGGACTGGACTATGTCAACTCCTAGCCTAGTGATAGGGAGTGAAGTGATAGAACATGTTGACCACTTCACCTATTTGGGAAGTTGTATTAGCACCAACGGACTGATTGGCGATGAAATCTCAGCACGGATCCGAAAAGCTCGAGCTGCTTTCGCTGACTTACACCATCTCTGGCGTAGGCGTGACATTCGGTTATCAACCAAGGGACGTGTGTACTGCTCATCAGTTCTCTCCGTCCTTCTCCATGGCTCTGAAACATGGCCAGTATGAGTTGAAGACATGAAAAGGTTGACTGCTTTCAATCATAGATGTCTGAGATCTCTTTCTCACGTTAGGTGGTATAATAAGGTGAGTAATGTTGACGTTAGGCGTAGAGTGTTGAGCAAAGAGGGAAAATCAATCGACGGGGCTATAAAGTTACATAGATTGAGATGGCTAGGTCAGGTGCTGCGCATGCCTAACCACCGCCTCCCCCGACGGGCATTACTAGCTGATATAGGTGCAGGTTGGAAAAGAGCCAGTGGTGGCCAAACAAAAACATGGCCTCATCAATCCATAAAATCCTTGACAGTTAAACTGAGTCAGGTAGGGAGAAAGAGACTTCCGGGTTGGGGCCCTCGGGACTCTAGGAATCAATGGCTGGAGACAATAGGTGACATGGCTCAAAATCGTTGTCAATGGCCAGCGCAGATGTATTCAGTCTCTGTAATCTTTCATACTTCTTTCTACCATTACCCATTCTGTTTCACTCTTATACTTGTCAAACTCTATTGATTCTTTTCACTCATCTTCTTGTCTACCTTTGTGTGGTATATGGAACGTGGCAACTCAAACTGCTACACTTCGGTGTCGATTTCTATGTTGAATCCAGGCAGGCATCTTGGGACTCTTCAGCAGTACGCACCCACCGGGGTTCGAATCCAGGACCTTCTGGTTACAAGGTGAGGTAGATTTCACACCTCGTGACCTACTGATTATTAGTCAGTGAATCGAACCGTACTATTTCATTTTAATTTTGATCATGGATTGATATCATTTATAGAAGTGCTGAAAACTAGGGAGTAATGGATACCTGTGATGTCCTAGTTTGAGACTCATAGCCAATATGCACCCACTGGATTTCGGACCGAGGACTTTCGGTTATAAGGCAAGCTTACATACCATGCAACCACTAGGACCCGACTCATTGACCAGTCCCATGAATGATTCTAAATTCTATTAATTCGTGATTTCAGCGCACCAGCCAGTATCATCGCTGGTGAGCATTTGTCCTCACTTCCAACTGGGTGATCCCTACTGGTCATGACTTCTCACTAGAACTAACTCCAGACAACTTTTTTCCTGTAGCCAGTCACTAGGATGCATCGGATTAATTTTCACGAGTTCCGTTTCTTACTATTTCATCTGGGTTTTTTTGACTGCTAATTCTAGTGTCTTTTAATGCTAAATACTTGGATTAGGCATCGTTCAATGCTTTTTTCAATTAAAGGGAATATACTAGCTGAAATATTTGTGTACTATCAAATTAAACTGTTTTTACATTACATGACATTCGACAAGTGTGTTTTGGAAACAATTCAGTTGACAATTACATTGATCTTTCTACTAGTGTTCACTAAGTTGTATTTACGAAAAAATTGTGTATATGTAGTTCACATTATACTTTTTATTCTATCGCTAAATGACTGACGAAACATTGTTAGAGTGACCGGTAACCCCAACCCGAGAATCTGCACTTCCCTACATGGTTCGAACCAAGAATCAGAGACTTCGTGGATTGATACCATGAGTCGGTTTAATCAGCTTCACCATTCCTCCATCCCTATCCTACTTTAACTAGCAAAACTTACCTATGGGAAGATGGAATGTATATCCTAGGTTTCTTGCAATCTCATCGATTACATTTCCCACCTTAACCGGCATTCTGCGTATAACCTCATCATAACTGATGACCATATATCCCTATACCTGAGCGTTGGTGGTGGCACAACGGTAGAATGCTCGCCAACTACTCATGGGGTTCGAGGTCTAATCCCCGGTCGACGCACTCCTTTGCCTCGCTAATTTAGTAATAAGACTGGTTGGGCATTAGGCTAGCAACTTCATCCCGTAAAAACAAATACCATTGCTACTGGAACTTCAAGGCTCTAGCTTGAAGCCCTATGTTCCGCTAGGAATGTAAAGGAATTAAAAAAGATATCGCTATACTTAACACAAAGAATCAGATGGCGTCAACTGTTTGTGAACAGTCTTCTATCGTCTCATCTTCTACTCGTAGTGGTTGTGTCTCAGCAGAAAAGTTGGATGGATTCCACTGCACAATACACATATTCCTATATCATTTTTCCATCAAAGATTCCAAACACTAATCAGATTTTCTCCAAAGGTGCTGAGAAAGCTGTAATTTGTCAGCACTTTCACCTTAAAAAGACTATATCGTATGCTTATTCTAAATCATTGAGACTTTTGCGTCATTTCATGGCAAGTCATTTCTTCAGATGTCAGAACCAAACTACTTCCACATCCAACAGTGTGTGCACAATGAAACTACATAAGAATAGTGACAGTGTTTTAACCACTAACAATTTCACCTTTCTGAAATGGTAGGATTTGCAGAATCATTGGTTTCAGCCTCGAAATTGAAGTCGAAATACCGTCTTATAGTAGCAGCTATCAACTATACTCCTGTAAACGTTTCAAAGTAGTTGACCGCATCACAAGTCTTAGTCCTTATTGGTCTTCGTTTACTTACGTATTATGTAGTATACTCCGTCTTCGTGTGCAGCATTTGACTATCATGTGCGATCAATACACTTAAAGGTGGTTTCAAATTCTCAGTGCATTAATCTCATTGTTATCATTAAAAATTTATATATATATATATATATATATATATATATACCCCCTTATACTCTCTTATTTGTACTCTATAGTGAACAACCTTAAACATACTTAGCTACCCCTAAATTATTAACATCGGCTTACTTTTTTGTACTTTACTCTATTCCTTCTTTTGTATATTTACTGGGTCCGACTATATTATCACTATGATTATTACAAAATTGTCCTGTCATTAACCATCATGTAATATTAGTGGTTAGGACTCTCGCCGACCACGCACATGGTCCGAGGTTCGATCCCCTGCTGACGCACACCTGATATCTATGGTCGGCCTGCAATATTTGGGCTACCGATATCCATGCTGAAAATTCCATACTTGTACCCAAAATACAGTGTGGAATCAAGCTGTAATCGAAAATATAAAAAAAAATAAAAATATAAAATACGAAATTGTCCTGTCATTAACCATCATGTAATATTAGTTTTGTGGTTGTTTTTTGTTCGGCACTATTTAACTGACAATCTTGTTTGTGAACGCCACTATCACCATCTTAAAAATTTTGTATTATGCAGGATTACTCACACTACCACAACAAACACTGCATCAGTGCTGACAATAAAAATAAAAAACCCTGAAATGCTTATTTATGATTGTTTAGTGTAGTTCAATCAAATTAACTGATCATATTGGCTATAAACATTCTTAATCACATCTCATAACTTCTTGTATGATTATAGCTATTACTGTTCACCACGCATACACATATCATAGCTTTTACTACCCAATACTGAAATATTTTTTCATTATTGGTGTTTATCTTCCTTTCTACTTGGTATTTTTATTTGCATTTTTTTGTTATTTTTGTGTTTATTTTTGGTTTTTTGTTGTTTTTTTTATATTTATTTTTTTGTAATACTCCTTTTAAATGTACGATGAAATTAGATGCAATATTGTAGATATGTGCCGAAAATTCCACACTGTACCACAAGTACTGTTTCTGGAATAAAAGCGAAATATTATTATTACACTTATTATTACTTAATTCTGAACTGTACTTTCTAGGTCCACGTTTCTCATTGAACCCTATCCGTATATTTGCTGGAAGCTTCTCCGGTGCAGTATTATATTCTAATCCAAAGTACATTTCACCTAATATAGTAAGTTATAACATGAATTACTTTTTTTAATAGTTTACACACAATGATAAGTTTTGTTATTGGTAATATTTCGAGCAAAATTACCAGTAACAAAACTTATCATTGTGTGTAAACTATTAAAATATAATTATACTTTATTTGATCTAATCCACAATGCTCAAACTTTTTACTGATATTAACATGAATTACGTTTGATTCTTAAATAGCAGATTGATTTTTATCTCAAACATATATATATATATATATATATATATAAACGTTAATATTAAGGAAAACGACATATTTCAATGTTTGCTTTCAGATTTCTTGAGACAGTCACTAATTTCGTATTGATCTTCTAATAATAGTTGCAGGATTTTATCATGAACTGATATCAGTTAGAGAACAATTGGAAAACCACCTGGGAGTACTGGACAGCTGTTTTGTCGACCTAGTTTGGAACTCTTCAGCAGTACGCACCCACCACCACGGTCCGAGCCCAGGAGCTCCTGGTTACAAGGCTAGCGAGCTCGTAGACCATTAGACCACTGGGACCTGATCAAATGGCCAACCCATGAATTCTTTTTTGTTTTCTTCACATTCTCCAGTGGAACATAGGGCTTCAAGCTAGTGGCTTGAAGTTTTTGTAGCAGTGTTTATTTTACAGGATGGGATTGCTAGCCTCATGCCTAGCCAACCTTTCCTCTTTACCATCATTATTTCTGGCTTAGCGAGGTAAGGGGGGAGTTCGTCGTCTGGGGATCGAACCCTGGACCATGTGCATGGTTGGCGAGCGTCTTAACCGCGCTATGCCACCGACGCATGAATTCTAACTTCTGCCAATTCATGCACGACCAATTAGGAATGTCTTCTTCGATGATAAAATCCTCCAAACAATCAAACCCAATCCCTACAAATCGATAGTCGAAAATTGATCTGATGCTCATTAGTGACTGACCCTATTCAGGCAGTGACCTGGGATTCTAGTGGGAAGTCGTGACCAGTAAGGTACAGCAAGCTGAAGGTGAGGCAGTAACTCATCGAAGAAGACATTGCGAAGTGGTCGCGCTATGTCATGAATTGGCAGCAGTTAGAATTCATGGGCTGGCTATTCGATCGAGTCGCAGTGGCTTAGTGGTCTACGAGCTTACTGACCTTATAACCAGAAGCTCCTGGGTTCAAACCCCTTGTGGTGGTGGGCGCTTACTGATGTCGGCTCATGATGAAATCCTCCAACTCCTAATGTTACTTGATTTGCCTTTGATATATGTGTCTTCTCCCTAGTTTGTTAGAACTCAATTGTGAAGATGCAGTTCAATGCTGTTGCCGCTCGTCTACCAATCATTGGGTGTCAAGTTCGAGTACCGTTTCGCCTATCAGGCAGTGTATCATCAACCCTCAGACAATAGTTGTGACTAACTGCCAACTGCATAGAACTTCAAGTGATTAGTGAGTATTGAGTGAATATTGAACTCAGTTACCCCTTGTATATTAGGCTTCGAACCAAACTTATTGTTTAAGAGCTACTGATACTGCCTAGTCTGAAGTAAGTGATTCAGGAACTCGAACCCTTCACCCATTATTGGTCAATAGAGCAAAGTGCTTAAGTTAATGAGCCAGTTCATTACTTCTCCTTATTGTAATCGTTATTAATAGTTTTACCACTTATAATACAGAAATTAATACATTCCGATGAAATCCTTCTCTTTCAGATTCGAAGTACTCTATTGTCTAAAAAACAGAACAGGTATATTGAACGTACACATGATAAAATGGAATCACGTAAACGTAAAAAGGAGATGAAGCAAATCTTTCCAGTTGATGAATTAGATGAAATTTTTGAATAAATTTTGTACGACAAAGTTCGTCTTTCTCTCTCCCTGTCTCTCTTTTTTAATAAAACGTGGAGAATAAAGTTATGTAGTTCGAAGTGTATAATCGACTACATGATCACCTTTAAAAGTTGAAATTAGAGGTTCAATAGTTATCGCCGTTGTTTTTATCGTGTGTGGAGCATAAAACAAAAGAAGGGTTATAAATGGTGTTATCAGACTTCTTTTTGTTAACTTAGTTACTTTGACTAAAACAAATTCTTTTCTGATAGTTAAAGCAAATAGAATCACGGAATATACACATTGAGGGCTAGGTTCGCATATGCCAGTTTACACTGTCTCCGTCGTAGACGATATATCCGACTATCGACCAAAGGGCGTGTGTACTGCTCATCAGTCCGATCCGTCCTCCTTTATGGCTGTGACACCTGGCCACTGAGAGCGGAAGGCATGAAAAGATTAGCTGTCTTTGATCATAGGTGCCTGCGTTCTATCTCCCGTGTGAAGTGGTATAATAAGGTGAGCAATACTGAGGTTAGGCATCGGTCGAGTGCTAAGTAAGGAGGGGAAATCAATCGACGAGGTTGTGAAGTTACACCGACTAAGAGAGATGGTTAGGGCATGTGTTACGTATGCACGCCTAGTCATCGCCTTCCTCGACAATGGGCAATGTCAGCTGATATAGGGTCAGGCTGGGAAAGAGCTAGTGGAGGTCAAACCAAAACATGGCACCAGTCAATGAAATCTACAACAGTAAGTATAAGCCAGCCACGTAGGAAGGTGTAGACTTCCTGACTGATTGGGGTCGTCGGGACGGGAAAAACAATGGTTGGAAACAATTGGTGACATGGCTCGAAATCGTTCTCAATGGCTGGCGCAGATGCTTCCACTCCTTGTGACTAATGATTCCCAATGAAACTGTTTTGTTCTTCGTTATTACTATTCCTTTGTCTTACACCTCTGTTTGCTGTCTCTACTATGCAAAGTTCTATGTCGAAAACAGACAGACATATGCACATTGGATCATAGGAATTATTAAAAAGGTGGTTACAGCGAAGAAAATTTTCCTTTTGACGAAGTCATCAACTAGACAGCTGTACATTCATGTATTTATACTACATGTGTGAGAAAGTTCCAGGATTATTTCTGGTCAGAGATCAGATTAATAAAATTATTAAGTGCTATAAATAGAAGATAAGTAGTGGTACTATTCTAGAAATATTTTAGGTCAAAGGTCAAGTTAGAAATTACAATGTGTAATAATCAGGGAGATCGGGTGGAAAAGACAAAGTGGGATCATAAATACTGGAAAACTAGTCAGTTTGTATAATTACGGGCTAAGGACGTAGTATTAACGGGATGGGTAGGAGGTTCAGACATATAAGAGTAATAATGCAGATAGGGATTTAAAAAGGTAAATATAACAAATAAACGGGAAGGTTGGACAAGGAAGACAATAGGATAATTATTGGTGAGACTGACTTTTCATGATGGCCACGGTAGGAAAAACAGTTGGACGTATTTCTTTTGGACACAGAATAGGCTTGAGGTTTTGGATCGCCAGTGCCTGCCTCAGCTATTCCTAGATGTCTTGATTTCACTCCTTTTGGTAGGTTGGATCGGATCTTGTATATGGCTTTGAAAGACTTTTCAAGTGGGACTGAATGTCCAGAATTCACCAGATATTCTGTTATCGAAGTGTATACCCCCATTGGGTTCTCCTTTTGCCAACCATGCTGGATAGTGTTCCCGCGCGCGTTTTACAAGCAGACTCATGATACGACCAATGTACTCAGTTCCACACGAGCAAGTGAACTTGTATATGCATGTTGAAGTGGCCCAATGCGACAGCTTGTCTTTCACGTGTTGGGTGAGTAGTTTCTTGCAGGAGAATGTTATTCGTAGGCTGGCGGTGAAGTATGTTTTACTGAGAGACTTCGAAAGCCGTCTACGGAGAAGTTCTGCTTCGGTATGACTTTTAAATTCGAGGTTCAATATCAGCATCTTTTTGGGGCGACTTGGACCTTTTCAGGTGTTTTCTTTGGTTTTAGATTCTTGTCTGTGAATCTGGGTGGGAATGGAATTTCTATCCAGGTCCCTCGGAGATTTCGCAATTCTTCAATGATTGACTCTTCAGTGCAAATCTTCCGGATCCTCGAGGAAAGAGAGTATATTAGGTTTCTCTTTCTGCTTAGAGGCACACACCTTTGAAAGTTAATAAATTGTCCGTCCCAAATGGGCTTTTTGTAGATGGATCTTCTCACCGAGTTGTCTGCATTCCTTCGTAGTTGAACGTCGAGGAAATGAAACACTGAGTTAGACTGAACTTCCACGGTGAAGTCGATGTTTGGGTGGGCGTTATTGAAGTAGGTTTATTTAGATCACAATTCTCATCACAAATAATGAAAGTATCATCGACGTATCTCTTGTAGAGATGGAGGTCGTCGATAGTTGATGATAAGGACTTGTTTTCTAGGCTAGCCATAAAGCTGCCGCTGCAAATTAGAATCTAGCATTACTGTTGCCCGTAATTCATTGTGTTTAACAGTGATAAACGTCTAAACAAAAGCTCTGTGATAAAACAATGTCTGCAGGTATTTTCAGGAACAATATTACCTTTATATTAGAAAAAAAATTATGTACTATTTGTGAGGGACAACTCACTAACTTAACTTTACGTCAAACATATCGACTAGCTGTGTTTACAGTGAAAGATTCATTTCAAGAGAGCTTTATGTGTCCTTAGAAGTGTGTGGGCAGAGAGCATAGTTCTCAGGGTCAGCCTCCCTCCCTCCAAAGTGTAGAGACAACACAGCTAGCCATTTTAGGGGAACACCCTACTATTAATATTCTCCCAGCAGTATGCATTCGCTCACACTCCTCACCCCGCCAGCATAGTGTTAACAACTTAAACTATAATGGCAGCTGTCTTTAGTCTAACCGCTATCCCAGACAAGTCTTTCTTGCATGGTCAAACCTGTAGAAAAATTCGTTCCAGCCAGTGTAACTCACTGATTCATTGCCATATGCGAGCGTAACCATCACGTCGTGATAGCAAATATTGATCGGGTCTACAGACACACCTTGATATTGGAGAGCGCCAGCCAATATGACTACGACTTCTCGATATCAATTCACAGAGTGCACCGTAATGGCTAATCTCCTAGGTTGTTGATCCTACTAGTTACTCTCTCCAGTATCAACTAATATAATATATACTGGTCTTTTGCTTTAGATTGAGAAGATTTGTAGAGCTCAGGTGGATGATTTTGCTGTGTTCTCTGAGCTGGATAGTTAATTTGCGAAGCTTTCATCGCCCTACTACTTACACACTTACTTACCTACAAAATTTACTTACTTACTTATTTACTTACTTAAATACTTCACTTAATCAATAACTTACTCGCTTTGTTACTTTCTCACCTACTTTAATTAATTACTTAGTTACATACTTAGTCAATTTCCTACTTACTTACATACTTTACTTACTGTAATTACTTAAATACTTACCTACTTATTTACTTGCGAGCTTAGTTACCTACTTACTAAGTTACTTTAATTACTTACTTACTTACGTACTAACTTACATATTTACAGAATTACTTTACTTACTTATTTACTTGCTTACTTTACTTACCCAGGTAATTACTTGCTTGCTTACTTACATACTTACCTCTTCACTTTACGTACTTAGTTAGTTACTTAATTACTTACTTATTTTACTTACTTCGCACATAAACTATCCAGCTCACGGAACACAACCACATCAAATCTATTTGTCAGTTTTCGACATAGAACTTTGGAGCGATGTGCGGCAGTTCAAGTCGCCACACTCCATGTACCACACAAGGCAAGACAAGAAAGTCGAAGAAATGGATAATAGAGACAGTAAACAGAGGTGTGAGACAAATGAATAGTAATAACGAAGAACAAAACAGTTTCAATGGAAATCATAAGTCACAAGGAGTGGAAGCATCTGCGCCAGCCATTAAGAACGATTTTGAGCCATGTCACCAATTGTTTCCAACCATTGCTTCTTGCCGTCCCGACGACGCCGTGATCGCCGGCCTTTCTGTCGATGAAGACGTGTGCCACGTATTGATGATGGCAATAAACACTTTACCTGTCTCAGCCGACATGGTTCAACGAGAGACACAGCATGACCCGACATTACAGTCAGTTCAACAGTATCTGCGTTGTAGCTGGCCCTCGCGTATTGATTGTCCAGATTTAAAACAGTTCTATCAACGACGACATTCGTTATCCCTGGTCAATTACTGCATTATGTTTGGCGAATGTGTGGTCGTGCCTCGAAGTCTCCAACAAAAGTCATGAGTCAACTACATTTTACGCATCCTGGTATTGGCCGTATGAAATCGTTGGCACGCTGTTACGTCTACTGGCCAAATATCGATCGTGAATTAGAAGTGATGGTTCGCTCATGTTCTCGCTGTGCTCAGGCTTTGAAAATGCCTATCAAGACAGACCTACAGCCGTGGCCCAACCCAGGAAAACCGTGGTCAAGAATCCACATAGAGTGATGGTTTGTAGGGATTTGATTAGTTGCATTATGCCGTGAATTGGCAGAAGATAGAATTCAAGGACCATTGGATCGGGTCCCAGTGGCTTAATGGTATACGAGCTCGCCTTGTAAGCGGAAGGTCCTGGGTTCGAATCCCGGTGGGTGCGTACTGCTGAAGATTCCCGAACTAGGAGGAAACAGCTGTCGAGTACTTCCAGGTTTTCCAATAGTTCTCTAACTAATGTCAGCTCATGATGAAATCCTGAAATCCACATAGATTTTGCCGGCCCAATCAATGGCAAACAGTTTCTCGTGGTAATTGACGCGTATTCCAAGTGGCCGTAGGTTTTCATTATGCAGAATACCACAGTGACGATAACATTAAATAAGTTGGTTCAGCTTTTCAGCAGATTTGGTGTTCCAGAGATCATCGTTTCCGATAACGGACCTCAGTTTACAGCTGAACAATTCAAACAGCATATTCGCAGCCCGCCTTACCACCCTCATTCAAATGGACAAGCAGAGCGTTTTATTGATACACTCAAACGCGCACTTCAGAAGTTTAACGGGGAGGGATCGATAGAGGATGTATTGCACAATTTCCTCTTCATTTATCGAACCACAACCAACCCATCATGCCCAAATCAAACGTCTCCCTCAGAAGTTATGTTGGGAAGAAGATTACGTACTACTTTGGATACAATTATCCCGATCCCATCAAGACGGAGCAAATGTGGTCGAAATAGTGAATTTTGGTTCAATAGACGTCATGGCACCAAGCAAAGAAGTTTCATGGTTGGTCAGTCGGTACTGCTTTGTGATTACATACGGAGAGATCGCCCATGGGTTTCTGGAGTGATCGTTGGAAGAAAAGGCCAAGTCATTTACAAGGTCAAGGGTGGAGACCTTATTTGGGTCAGGCATGCCAATCAAATAAGAAATAGACTAATTGGTAAACAGTTGAACGATTCCAAGCCCGCCGACGTACAATTTGAGCTATTGATAGAAACGACGGATCCGAAAACGTCACATGGCCGAAATAGTCGAAACAAAGGCAGTGTCCCAGCAGCCAAGGAGATCACAACGACAACCAAGACAGCCAAAGTACCTACAAGTGATTCCGCGATACAAAAGCTACCGGTAGCCCTATCTTAAAAGGGGAGGTGTTAGGAAGAGGCAGAACATGCAATTATCAGGTCATTATCATGTCTCAGTCAAGTTATTAGCGTGTCGTTGACATGCATTTGTTTCTGCTTTCTGGTTGAACGCTTGCACAGTTCCAAACTCTCAACCGGATTGGCTGATTTTCAGTCTACCTTATTTTTGTATAAATACAGTCACTTTTGTCATAATAAATGATTCGGGTTTTACCGCTGATTATCGCGTGTTCTGCTTTACCAGTTAAGTGGGCACAGGTCAGTAGTTAAGCAGTTACCTCGAGACAAAGATCCAGCATCATAACAGTTTTCCCCGTCGCCAATTATTGTTAAGTACTTGTCGAGTAGTTAATAGTCCTGACGCAGAAAGAGGAAAATCAGAAGACCACCAGGTTTAACCATGATACTTGTATTTTCCAGACAAGTGCGTAAGTAATTTACGAAAAGGTGTGTGTACAAGAATGAACAAGTGTCTAACACAAAAGTATGTATGAAAATGGCTAATACACATGAACCAATACGACAACGTCTTGCCATCATTGGTTGGAATGTCATATGATAATAAGGTCATACATTGTTTATTTAGTTGGTGGACAGACAAAAGCATAATGTCAGTTATAATGGAATATCGATCCATATACACATAGCAAAATATAATAGACTGTCAAAAACAAAACACACATCATGTGGATACATATCAGTAAGAAAGTAAATATTTAAGTAAGTAACTATGTAAGTAAAGTAGGTTGGTAAGTAATTAAAGTAAGAGAAGACGCTCAGCGAAAAGATTCTTTTCGGCGAATTCATTCACATAGCTGTACAATCGCATTTATATATAATTATTTGTGTATGAGTACATGAGGTTTGTCAAAATTAGATAATTGATCAGGTAATAAAAGAATGATCTAATGTAGAAACAAGGTTAATTGGACAGAAACTAAAGTAAGATTGAGTTAGTAAGTTAGATGATATGTATCCACATATATATATTTATGTGTGTGTGTGTGCATGTTGGTCTCTCTTTCTGTTTGCTCGGTTAGTCTGTGACCACTTCACTTGTATGAACTTGTCTCCTTTATTATTGTGTATTCTCCTTATATTATATTATATATAATATGAGTGTATGTTGACAGTCCGTTGCTTAGTGACATATATCCATATATGGTTGTTTGACATGTCTGCTATATTCGCTATGTATAGTTGGATCGACACTCCATTATAATTAGCCATTCATGTTAAGACTGTCTAATGATTTTTCCCACGCTTGTCTACAACATTTATATATATTCGCATTCACAATTTGTGTGAACTACTTTACAACTCCTTTACTTACCACTTTGGTGTGAGACCATTTATTTTCGTCTCCTTGTGTTTGGACAATAGAAGTATCATCGCAAACCTAGTGGTCTTCTGATTTCCACCTTCTCGCGTCAGGACTATTAATTTCTCGACCAGTCCATAACAATAATTTAGCGACGAGTACATAGCAATTTGGCGACGGGGAAAACTAATACATAACACCGATGATATATCTGCTAATCATATCCGCCTACGCTAAGTCTGCTGTGATTGCTTGTTGAGTTTCTCAAAGTTAGGCTTTGTTCTTGTTTGTTCTCTTGGCCCCAATTCGGGACGTAAACATTGACGTAAAACGCTGTCTACCAATTTTCGGGTTGCAGCCAGCAGCTATCACCAGCACAACCTTACCTTAGTGATTGATGTTATTCTCATAATTAGATTTTTAAATGAAGCATAATTATATAATAGAAAGATACAAATTAGTGTAGATAGTCGGAAGCCTGTTTACTGGTCCTCGTCAGCAAGGTGAATATCTACAACCTTGAAGGAACTGATATCCCTTTGTGAGGTGCTAGCCCACGTCACTACTCAGTGCTACATTATTCAGCGAGACATTACCACTGAGCCTATTTTTTAATAATAATAATAATGATTTACTTTATTCCAAAAACAGTACTTGTGATACAGAATAGAATTTTCAGCATTAATCACAATATTACATCTAATTTCCTCAAATTATAAATAAAATTAATCACACAGAAAATCTTCCACATTTACAATAGAGGTAGTGTCAAAAACATGCAGCATATAAAATGGAAATAGCAATAGTAATGATAATCGCTAAGGTAATAATAATGATACAAGTGAAAAATTGAGGTGGGCTCTCCACACACAGTATTGTCAATGCGGTATAGAAATCCTAACATGTTTAAAAATATTGAATATAATGTTCTTACTACATGATATGGTGAGGGGAAAACAAAGATTACAGCAGTCATAGAGATAAGTTGGTGCTTGCAATTATGAGAGTAAAACACAGAAACAACAAGACCATAAATATAATAGAAATAATGAAAGTAAAACTTGAAAGTATATAAAGATGGATAGAGGAAATTGTTTATTTACTAGATGAAAAAATTTTGGTTAGTTAATTCTTGCCTGACACTATTTTCATCACATAAAATACGTGCCAAGTATGGTATCATAGAATTTCTATACTTAGACGTGTGAGCATACAGTTTTCTGAAGTTACTTCTTGTTCTACCTGAGGAGATGCAAGGTGAAAGCTGAGGGTGGATGAGAGTGGATGCTCCAAGTCAGACAAAATCCCTCTGGCAAATTTATTGCACGAAGTCAAGTGCCTATCGACAATGACGTTAACTATGTGGTCCACTGGGACACCACTCACCCTACAGACCGTCTTCAGCATTCTACGAATTGTGACATAGTCCTTTTTAAGCAAACCAGGAAAGAATAAGGGTGAACAATAAAGAAGAATAGGTAGGATGCAGGAGTTTATGAACTGTAAGAGGAAGGGATTGAGGTATACCCGAGTGTCTTAACTTCTTAATGTAAAATGTCAGGCGGAATATTTTACTGGAGATCGCTAAGACATGGGAAGTCCAGGAGAGATCAGAAGAGAGAATAAGTCCAAGATACTTAATTTCTGATTTGATTCCTATATCATTGTCGTCAATCTTATAACTGTCATGAGAATCGATGACTTCTTTTAACTGTTTTTTTACATCTTAAGCTGAAATTAACAGTTTGACATTTAGAAGGATTCAGTTTAAGACCGTTAGACTCAGATCATTTACTGACTCCCGACAGAAAGCTATTTATTTTGGTACAATCTAGCTGGGAGTTAACAGCCATTGAAACTGTTAAATCATCAGCGTACTTCACAAAGTTTATTTCATCAGAGTGAGGCAAGTCATGTAAGAAGAAAGAAAAAAGAAAAGGAGAAAGGACAGCGCCTTGAGGGACACCAGCTTCAGTAAGCAATGAAGTGGAAGACTTCACTTTATACACCGTGTACTGCTTTCTTTCTGAGAAATAGGAATTTAACCAAATACAACAGCCCAACATTGTGTTTGACTTGCAGCAAGTTTATTTAATAAGATGTCCCTAGGGACCGAGTCAAAAGCAGATGTATAGTCCAGGAAGGCAAAACGAACAAATTTAGCCCCCTTGTCTAGACTGGAAGCAATGTTATGATATATATATATTGGATCTACCAATTGACTAGATATAAAGTACCACTTTAGATGGATACCGGAACGTGTGTTTTTTCATAACAATCATGCACTAATGCCTGAAAACTCATCAAAAAACAGTTCGACAACACAATACAGTACAACAACAACAACAAAAACGCCAACTTATCACAGTAGCTACTTACCCTCACAAATAATCTTCTATATCCTAAAAAAAGCGGTTGAAGGAAATTTCTTTTTTTTTAAGGTTCTGTTGAATCAGAAATAACATTTTGTTTGCAAGCTGATTGACTGGTTACTACTACTGACCTGTCTGTACAATGATCATGATCATGAACATCATTACCATCATCTGTTGAATAATGACAAGTATTCACTGTTGATAATATTTTATTATCATTTGACCCATTTATCAGCGAATCAGGAGGACAACAAGACTGTTGGTGTTGATGATTATGCGATGGATGTGTATTCAAGGTGAGTAGACGCATTAACAATTTATCGTTTTGTACACCGTTAATAAATTCATCCAATGAAAGACGATCATCTCTGTCTAAATCCATCAGTTGAAAAATTTTCTCTGTTCGCCTTTCTGGTGTAGCTTCAGAGTCGTTAAATTCAACAGCTGATCCAATCATTGCATATATTGCCTAGGTGACAAGAAAACAAACAAAATAAAAATAAATAAAGGTTGATACCACAGCTGAGATCCTGAAGAACCGCTTAAGCAGATCACTGAGGAAAGCCTGCTTCATTACTGAGCTACGTATCAATTTCTACAGCCGATAAATGATCAATGGATATGTGAAGGATAAACTGGCGCTTTGGATGGGCCACTTCAATGTGTGTTTATAAATTAACCTGCTCGTGTGGAGCTAGTTATATTGGCCACACAAAGCGCACGCTTTCCAAACGCATCTCTGAACATTATCCGGCATGGTTAGCAAGCAAAAAGGACAATGCAAGACAATTACTAGCTCAATTCTCGAGCATTTGGTGAACTCAGGTCACGTAGCTCCACCAGAGTCGTCTTTCAACATCATCTACAAGGTGAGGCCAAATAGTACAAAGGGTGTCAGGTTTCGACTTTTGTGTATGGCGAAGGGGCTGGCAATTCGTCAATACAACCTTGAACTCTGTATACAGAAAACGTTTGTCCAGTCTCTTATTCTACCATGGGTATAACCACTTCACTAGTCGTTCCCGGTAATTTGCTTTTGCTTTAATAATTAATTCACTATTATCACTCTCATATGCCCCTTTTGTACATTTCACACCCTCTTCACACTTGTTTAGTTGACACTCAAATACCTTTCTTCTCACTTAATAACCTTATCAAATTTCTATCTTTGTTCCGTTGAGTACCACGTAATTTACAACTTTTAATTTTCACTTCTAAAGCCACTTCTGAGTAATTATATCACCCCACCCCCCTATTACTCAATAATAGACCACCGTATTTTTTTTGTAAGTATAAATACGACTGTACAGCCTCTGAAGATGATTTCGTCGATAAAGAAAATTTTCTTCGCTGAATTTGTCTTTTATCTTGTTCATAACTCAATGGGTATTTTCGGAGATTTAAAATAAAATTCATCGGAACACGAAAGTGATGAAAATGAATAGGGCTGATGAACCCAATGACAGTGGAATTGCACAACTTACCTCCGACTCTTTTCTTTCAAAGATGCGAATGACTTTTGTGAAAGAGCTAAAAAGAGATCGTTTTAGAAGTTACGGTGAAACGGATCATTGTATCACTCCGGGAATCAGGTTATCCACTGCTGGAAACTTCAAAAGCCACATATATGACTCAGTAAGTGACAATCAATGACGCATTAGTCTTTGTGTCAGATAGTTGGAGCCAATCGGTAAGAAGCTCTGCTGAGAACTCGGTGTCGTGCCTGCTGGCACTTGTCAACAAGGCGTATCTCTACAACCATGAAGGAACACTCAAGTCCCCTCTGAGATTAGCACACAGGCGTCACTCAACGTTTCAGTAGGAGACACTACCACTAAGCTATTCAGGCTGTAGGACTGTATTGGATACATTGACCGGTTATTCACTAGTGACCAATCAATAGGAAAATAACCCTATCAATAATCTTATCAAAAAAATTCTATTTTTTTTCAAACAGCTATTTAGCTAACTCGAAAGAAGGTGCTGTATTGATTCAAATGTAAAGATGACTGTGGAAAGGCCACCTGAAAAGGTGAAGTAGTGAGAACGAGACAGTGTTTATCTAGCGGATAGTGATATTTTCCCTTAATATGCATTAACCTAAAACAGTGTGGTTTGACAGACTGCAGAACACAAACACCCTACTTCATAGAGTGAGTGTGTTGTATGTTTTCCCCCATTCCTCTGCGTTCTGAGAACACACAGCCTCAAAGTTATGTTATTTCCTGGATAGAGTTAGCAGCCTCATGCTGAAGCTCCCCATTTACTGGACCTGCTGACGGCTAAATGAAGTTTGGGAGTGCGTCGGTTGGGAATCGAACCCGAACTACGTGCTTGGTTAGCGAACTATTCTGTTATCTAACCGCTGACAGAGTATGTTAGGTGCTAGTTATAGACAGATATTACTGTCTCTGTCTGGATTCAACATAGAAATTGACACCGAAGTGCACCAGTTCGAGTTGCCACGTTCCAAATACCACACAAAGGTAGACAAGAAGATGAGTGGAGAGAATTAATAGAGTTTGACAAGTATAAGAGTGAAACAGAATGGGTAATGGTAGAAAGGAATATGAAAGATTACAGAGACTGAATACATCTGCGCTGGCCATTGACAACGATTTTGAGCCATGTCACCTATTGTCTCCAGCCATTGATTCCTAGAGTCCCGAGGGCCCCAACCCGGAAGTCTGCATCTCCCTACCTGACTCAGTTTAACTGTCAAGGATTTCATGGATTGATGAGGCCATGTTTTTGTTTGGCCACCACTGGCTCTTTTCCAACCTGCACCTATATCAGCTAGAAATGCCCGTTGGGGGGGGCGGTGGTTAGGCATTCGCAGCACGTGACATAGCCATCTCAATCTATGTAACTTTATAGCCCCGTCGATTGATTTTCCCTCTTTGCCCAACACTCTACGCCTAACGTCAACATTACTTACCTTATTAAACCACCTAACGTGAGGAAGAGATCGTAGACATCTATGATCAAAAACATCAAAAAAACACTTACAGGAGAAAAGTAACAAACCGGTAGAAGCAGCTGTAAAGGCAAGACCTCTAAACAGAGGGGATGGAGATAATCAACCCAAAACAGCAAAAACCATATCAATCAATATCAACGGAATCGATTTGAAAGAAGTTACTTCCTTCACTTATCTAGCTAGGAAGCATCGTTTCAACCACACGGGGGAACAGATGAAGAGGACAAAGCCAAAATCAGAAAGGAAAAGATAGGCCTTCATCAACCTGAAATCGGCCTTCAAATCTTCTGTTTCACTCAGCAAGCATAATGAACAAAATTCGAATTTCCAACACCCATATCAAGTCAGTGCTTCTATATGAGTCAGAAACTTGGCGCTCACGACACGAAAAGTATATTTAAGGGGCTACTACTGCAGAGTTTGATCAACAGCCGCCTTCACTGGCTGCATATGGGACATCAGACTGGTTGGGTGGAAATAAGTAGCCAGAAGAAACTCTGGGAACAAACTAACCAAGAACCTGTGGCTTAACAAATGTGTAGAAAATAGAGATGGATTGGCATCCACAGGGAAGGCCATCGAATGACAGCAGGCGTAATGCAGGCCAGCACTCGAGTAGAACCAACAGCAACAGCATCGATCAAGAGGTGATTTGGAAACTACTTTGCTACTAAGGGGTGCCGCCGACAATGCATGCCAAGTAATCCACAACGGGAAACTTACGGAAGCCTTTGAAGTAAAGACGGGAGAGTAAGACAAGACTGCCGCCTACTATCTCCAATGATTTTCCTGATTGCAGTAGGTTGGATAATGTGACAGAAAGCGGGCAACGAGGAAACAGGAATAAAATGGACTCACACAAAAAACTTGGAGGATCTGGACTTCGCCAGCGATGATATATGTCTGATTTCCCACAAACTGGAAGATATGCAAGTGAAAAGCAACAAGTTGGCGATAGTAGAAGCATCAATAGCAGTAACAACAACAACAGACAACAATCAGCCAGCATAAATAGGAGGAACCTGAAAGAAACAACCTCCTTTATCTACCTATCTGGGAAGCGTCGTTCCAAGTAAAGGCGGAAATGACAAGGATATCAAAGCCAGAATCGAAAAAGCAAAACAAGCTTTCATTACTCTCAAGTTTGTGTGGAGGAGGTGAACTAAACTCAGCATGAAAATGAAAATAAGATCCGGATTTTCAACTTCAATGTGAAGTCAGTGCTACTTACTATGCGGATCAGAGACTTGGCCAGCGCGTAATAAAGAGCACCTCAAACAAACTACAGGCCTTCATTACCAGTTGTCTTCGCTCCATACTGATATATATATATATATATATATATATATATATATATATGGTAATCTCTCTTTCTATTGCTCGCTTAGTCTGTGACCATTTCACTTTGATGAACCTGTCTCCTTTAACAATGTATATTCCCCTTATATTATATATAATATGAGTGTTTGTTGACAGTCCGTTGCTTGGTGACATATATCCATATCATATGTGTGGTTGTTGACATGTCTGCTATATTTTGCTATGTATATATGGATCGACACTCCATTATAATTACCCATTCATGTTAAGACTGTCTATTGATTTGTTCACACACTTGTCTGGACATTCATATATATTTCGCTCTCACAATCTTGTGTGACTTTGGTGTGATACCACTTCTGCATTCTCCTTGTGTTTGGAAAATAGAAGTATCATCGCAAACCTAGTGGTCTTCTGATTTCCGTCTTTCTTGAGTCAGGACTATTAAATTCTCGACCAGTACATAACAATAATTTGGCGACGGGGAAAACTATGGATCCTTCTAAATTGGAATTACTACTTGAACGACAAATGAAATTAATGGAAATGTTCGTCAACCAACAGACTGGTCCAGCTTCACCTTCAAGCAATCCGAACCATACCATGTTACCATCTGTCGACGGCATTGTGAATAGTATTTCACAGTTCAGTTATAATTCAGATGCTAATGTTACTTTTGACACATGGTATCAACGATATGAGGATTTATTCACAGTTGATCCCGCCTCACAAGACGATGCTTGGAAGGTGCGGGTGTTGTTACGTAAATTGGGTCCCGCAGAATATGAGAGGTACTGCAACCTAATTTTACCCCAGAAACCACGTGACAAGTGTTTCGATGATACAATAAGGCTGCTGCGTGAACATTTTGGAGACGACTCCTCATTATTCAGCATACGTTATCGTTGCTTCAAGCTGACAATGAATGAAAATGATGATTTTCTTACTCACGTTGGCACAGTCAACCGAGAATGTGAGAGATTTCGACTCAGGTCCTTAACAGATGATCAATTCAAAGCCTTGATTCTCATATGCAGTCTTCAATCTCCTCGTTTCACAGATATCCGAACTCGACTGCTCAATCAGCTAGAACAAAATCCTAAGTTAACTCTACATGACATAGCTGATGAATATCAACGGCTGATTAATTTACAGAAAGACACACACCT